TCTTTTGCCGTGGTGCTAACTTCTAAAGACCCTCAGCAAAGACCATAGTTTTGTTTTTACTTAGCATGATGAAATAAACATTTTTACTCTCTAAAGTTTTCTTAACTTTTAATGTTAACTATACTGTCTTGATTTAATTACTATGCCATTAATTTTGTAGCTGGTTATTGTTATTGGGCATTTTGATAGTCTTCATTTTTTTATTTTATTTGCTCTTGAACAATATCATGTATATCTTTGTGTATATAGCTTTTTGTTGTTGGATACTTCCATCTGGATAAATTCTTAGAAATAGGATCATTGGGGTTTTTTGTGCCGGGGTGGTATATACACTTTTTTTGCCTTTGATACTGCCAGATTGCCTTTTAAAGGAGTTTATAATGCTACCAGCACTATTTAAGCGTCCACTAGACACCATTGATCATTTGGCACACCATCATTTTATGAATTGCTAAAAAAAACCTCTTAGTTAAAGCGACACAATGTTTTCTTTATTAAGAATTTTTGTTTTTCATACTTAGTAGAAAAGATCTTTTACCTACCTATGTGTAGGTAGACATAGATTTTTATCATACCACTCTTGGACATATGTTAAAAGGAAAAAAAATAAGTCAATTTAAATGGTTAGGGTAGTTCTAAAGCATCACATTTCAATGTTCAATTCTTCTAAGTTATTTTTGGATTCAGAGTTGTCTGTAATTTTCCACACTGTATATCAAGAATGTTGATGAGAAAGTATTTCTTAAGAGTACCTGGCCAGAAACAGTCATGTGATGTTCTTGATTAAGATGCATCTTCATTTCAGATATGTTAAAATGTGAAAAAAAAATGCATCCAAGAATCACTAAAATATGGTAATTTCACTCTAATCTTATCAGTAGGTATCATTAGCATTTTTCCCTAGCTCAATGTGATGTAAAATGCTGTATCAATTTTAACTTGTGTTTCTATTATTAATGAAGCTGAACTTCAGTCTCTGTAGCAATATTTTAGCAACTGTATGATCTTTAGTATTTAATTGAAGGTAAAGATGAGATTGTTGTTTCTCAGTATATTCAAGTTTATCAGGTTTGTCTTAGAGGAGATCACTAAATGTAGATAAAATGTTGAAATTACTTGATTTTCAAAAATATGTATTTTAAGAAGTACTGCTCTGTGAATTGGCATTTATGACAGGTCTTAGGTAGTCATTCTTGAACTTGTACATTAGAATCATCAGGGAGCATTTCAAAATGCAGGTTCCTAGCTCTGTACAGAGATTAAGTAATTTAATCTAGTAGGGGGTACAGGAATCTGTATTCATAACAAGTACCTCAGATAATTATGCTTGTGGACCATGCCTAGAAGCTGTAGACAATTGAGGGTAGTTAGAGCAACAGATTTTTCTGAGAACCTCTTTGGTGATACTGGCTAAAATTTGTAAGTAGAGTGCTTGATTAGAAAGCTATGAAAACTTGTTAATCTAGTTTAAATGCTAGACACTAAGGATTTTGAATTTATAATAATAAATGTGAAGGGTCGGCATGTCTAGATTCTTGAGCAGGAAAATTACATGATTAGTCAGCATAATTTTCGTGGAATGTCATGTAATTCCATTTGGTAAGATAATAAGAAAAAATGAAAAATGGAGATTTGTGTTGAGATAATTCTCTTTTATTGGTCTTCATTTCAACTTTCTCTGTACTTTCTGTCTAGAATAAACAGAGAATAAGCTAAAACAAGGTTTGACTAATTAAGCAGAATATAAGCTCCATGAGGGAGATTTTATTCATTCTTGTATCAGTAATCTCTAAAACAGTACTTGGCACAATAGTATTTGTTGAATATATGAATGCACAGAACAGCGTACATATCAAGTACTCTTCAGGAAGAGTTTCCTTTGAATCAGTTAAAATTACCTATCAGAAACTGTTGCAATTAATCTTACTATTAAATTTATATTAAACCTATTATGGATTTTAAATTGAGGCTTATTTATTGCTAAAATTGTGGGAAGTTATTAAGTCATTTAAAGTCTTTCCATGTAAATTATACTTTAATTTTATAATTGGTGTTAGGAAAAAAGTGTTTGAATTTTTATTTTTATTTTCCTTTTTTTAGGAGTTAACAGAGCAGTTTCATCAAGTTGAATCTCAACTGAATAAGCTAAATCATCTCCTCACTGATATTCTTGCTGATGTGAAGACAAAAAGAAAAACTTTGGCAAATAATAAATTACATCAAATGGAAAGAGAATTATATGTATATTTTTTAAAAGATGAAGATTATCTGAAAGATATTGTGGAGAATTTAGAAACTCAATCAAAGATTAAGGCTGTTAGTCTTGAAGATTGACAATTACTGGAAACCGAATCTTTATTACATGTGCTCTTTTATTTATTAGGAGGAGACTGTATATAATAAACACTACTAAATTTTTAAAATTTGAGGTCAATGGGACATTTCATTTGATGAATTCAAGTATTAATTTGGCTTTTTTCTCATGTGGTACATTCAGAGTACCAGTGCTTTTTATGACTTGAGCATGTTAGTGGTACTTAGTCCTGGTAATTTTTTACTTACTGGGAAAAAGCATTATTACATAATGCAAATATTTTTAAATATAGTTATCTCTCTCCTTTACTTTCTTTTTAGAAATAGAAATTTTCTTCTGTTAAATTTTTTTTTTTTTTTTTGAGATGGAGTCTCACTCTGTCTCCAGGCTGGAATGCAGTGGCACGATCTTGGCTCACTGCAACCTCCACCTCCCAGGTTCAAGCAATTCTCCTGCCTCAGCCTCCCGGGTAGCTGGGACTACAGGCGTGCACTGCTACGCCTAGCTAATTCTTTGTATTTTTAGTAGAAATGGGGTTTCACCATGTTGGCCAGGATGGTCTCCATCTACTGACCTCATGATCCCCTCTCCTCGGCCTCTCAAAGTGCTGGAATTACAAGCGTGAGCCACCACGCTCAGCCGCTATTAAATATTTTAAAATGTGTAGAACTTCTAGTCAGCATTTTTAAATCTATAGACCTTAATATGTGAAATAGCCAGGTCCCCTCGTGTTTGATTGTCAGATAAAATTTTGCTGCTTAAATTGTATTACTCCATAATTCCCTGCTATGGACCTTTAGACTGTTTTAATGTCCCTACTTGTACCGCAGAGTATTAGGACTTCCTTGGCCATCATTCATTTTAGAGTCTGAATTCTGGGGACTCAAAGTTTTCTACAAGACAGCTCAGCAGTGCTTTGACTTTAATGTGACTTACACATCATAAATGACTTTCAAATGAAATTTGAATTTCAAAATTCTGTAAAAGTGGTTGTTCAAAAGATGTATGATACTATTTTAATCAGTTTAAGAGCAAAAATGTTTAATTATATTTAATAATGGTATTTGGGCAACCAGAAAATAAGGGTTGGTCTAAAATAATTTGAAGTAGCTCATCTGTTACTACATCAGATGCTTCTTGAGTGCCTAATTTATACGTGGCCTATGACAAATACCTTGTGAGCTTTGTAGGAATACCTTTAAGAATATTCCTCACCTGTTTGTAATATGGAGTGCCAACCTAAAAACTACATGTTTTGGGTGGTCTTTGTGGAATTTTTTAGCTATAACCATCAGAAAACAGGCATACCTGGATGACAGATGAACCCTCTTGATTTTTGAAACCCATCGAACAAAAATATTTTCCAGTTATTGTGTTTGTTATTTAAAATGTTATGTAAACCTTAATTTTGTAGCAATAAATTTTGTTTACAATTTTGCTATCAGCTCCATATCACCTGAGCAACATTTTTGTTGTATATATTTTTTTGTATTCTGTCTTGGGATAGAGAGTTTACTTAAAATTTTTCTTTTCTCCAATAATGTGGAAAATATGTCATCTGGTTTCCTGGTTTATGGTAGCAAATTCTCTTTAAATTAGTGTCAGATACTTAGATGTGTGGCCAGACGCTTGATTTATTTTATTTGTTAATTAATTTTTTGAGACAGAGTCTAACTCTGTCACCGAGGCTGGAATTGAGTGGAACGATCTCAGCTCACTGCAACCTCTGCCTCCCAGGTTCAAGTGATTCTCCTGCTTCAGCCTCCTGAGTAGATGGGATTGTAGGTGTGCACCACTGCACCTGGCTAATGTTTGTATTTTCAGTAGAGACGGGGTTTCACCATGTTGGTCAGGCTGGTCTCAAACTCCTGACCTCAAGTGATCTACCCGCCTTGGCCTTCCAGAATGCTGGCATTACAGGTGTAAGCCACCATGCCCCTGCCCAGATGTTTGATTTATACTGTCCCCACCCAAACTTTCGCTTGCTCAGGCCAGGGGACCAGCAGGACTGATCAAGGCAGGGATGGTAGTTGTGTGTCTGCCATAATTACTGAAGTTAGTTATAATCATTGTGTTACTAGATATGTTTATTTGAAGATTTATTTTGTTTTGTTTTTATTTTTTGAGACGGAGTTTCACTCTTGTTGCCCAGGCTGGAGTACAGTGGCGTGATCTCAGCTCACTGCAGCCTCCGCCTCCTGGGTTCAAGTGGTTCTCCTGCCTCAGGCCTCCTGAGTAGCTGGGATTACAGGTGCCACCATGCCCGGTTAATTTTTCGTATTTTTAGTAGAGATGGGATTTCATCATGTTGGCCAAGTTGATCTCGAACTCCTGGCCTCAGGTGATCCATCTGCCTCGGCCTACCAAAGTGCAGGGATTACAGGCATGAGCCTATTTGGAGATTTAATATCATTTTTCAAACCTCAGGAAGTATTTGAGTAGATCGCTTGCTTCTAAATTGGTTACCTAGAAAATAAGTTCTTTATCTATTTACTATGATACCTGGATTGAGCCTCTAGCTATTTTGCTTTTTTCTTTCTATCCGTATTATTGGATGATTGATTCCTATTTTCTATGGTTATGAATATAGACATTTTAAATGAAAGTCTTGGTATATACATTTTTCAAAATAATTGTATTTCCTGTTTTAAAGTCTTAGAATTAATATATGGGATTTATCTTATGTTAATCTTACATTTAGGATTTTGTGAAAATGGAAAATTATGAGGCATTGGTAGGCTTTGATCTCTGTAATACACCGCTCTCCACTGTTGCTCAGAAGATTATGTCTGCTATGCATTCAGGTGATTTAGTGGATTCTAAGACTTGGGGAAAGAGTACAGAGAGTAAGTAATTTTTATGAACCTTTCTCTCTCTTGATACTTTGAATGTTAGTTGTTCTAAAGACTAAGAATTGAAAATCGAATGCATCTAGACAGATGAAGCCCAGCTTCTGCGCCTTTTTACACTCAGTGCCGACTGAACTTCTGCTTGCTAACTTTCATGTTCCCTTAACCTTCATTGCTTTAAAAATGTAACACTCTCTTCCTTATTCCAGGTATTTCTGTCAAACATTCCCTTAGAATCTGGATCAGGTATTTTAGTATCTTTGAAAGGGATGCTTTAATCTTGGTTCTCAGGTCATCAAACCTGTACATAGTATTTGCTGTTGTGTGTGGTGAACAAGAGATATGTTTTTGACAATATGTGTATTATACTTCTATAGAAATGTAAACTCTTAGGTGGCAAGGATTATTGGATCAGTGTATATGGGTTTATGACGTGGTATAATAGTAAAAGCAGTGGGGCTGGGCGCGGTGACTTACGCCTGTAATCCTGACACTTTGGGAGGCCAAGGCAGGCGGATCATGAGGTCAGGAGATCGAGACCATCCTGGCTAACACAGTGAAAACCTGTCTCTACTAAAAATACAAAAAATTAGCCTGGTGTGGTGGTGGGCACCTGTAGTCCCAGCTACTCGGGAGGCTGAGGCAGGAGAATGGCATGAACCCAGGAGACAGAGCTTGCAGTGAGCTGAGATCTCCAGCCTGGGTGATAGAGCGAGACTCTGTCTCAAAAAAAAAAAAAAAAAAAAGTAAAAGCAGTGATATGCTCACAAATGTCACTGAAATGTTTGTAACACCAGGGTTTTTGGTGTTTTTTTGTTGTCTTTTTTGTTGTCTTTTTTTTGCTACTAGCAAAACAGTTTTTATTTTAAATTTGCAAGTCAATAATTTGTGATTAGTTTCTCCTTCTACAAAATAAGGTATAAGTGAGTGAGATATAATTGAGAAATGAAATTGAATTGAAATAATTGAGAATATTGCTGAATATTAGCACAAAAGCTCTTATAAACACAGCTTCTTGATTAAGATACAGTTGCACTTAACGTTTTGATCCATTCATATTCAGGCAGCTGTTGCTTCTGTACTTTATTATAGTAAAAGTCACTAATAAACTGGTAAGAATTTTTAAGTGCAAATTACATGCCTAGCAATTGATTGTGTAAGACACTATCATAATCACATTTATTAGTCCATATTTTTTTGAATAATAGAGTGGTGTATACTTGACAGAGGTGGAAATACACTCCCCTTCAAAAACTGGTAAGAATAATGAAATGCCTCTGGCAGCTATAATATGAGGGTCTGATGAAAAATTTATGACAGTCCATCTCATATCAGCTCTTATTGTTGTCCTAAAATACCTCGTTAATGCCTGGGACGATCACTTGAGCCTAGGCGTTCGAGTCCAGCCTAGGCAACGTAGCAGGATCCCATCTCTGAAAATAAAATACCCTGTTAAAATTCTGGCTTTTGTTTGTTAAAGGTTATTGAGAAGATAAAAGAAAAATATGTGATACTACTTTTCTCTCTTGGATTTGGAAAAATAGTGGAATTTTCATAAGGATTTTATATTTTCTATTGCTGTATAACATTATTACTACAAACTTACTGGCTTAAAACAACACAATTATTGTTGTACAGTTTCTGTGCATCAGGAGCCTGGACCTGACTCTGCTAGGTCCTCTGCAAGGGTGGACTCCAGGTATCAGCCAGGGCTGGTGTCTCTCCTGAGGCTGCAGTTGGGGAAGCATTCTCTTCTAAACTCACATGGTTGTTGACAGAATTCATTTTCTTACAGACTTTCAGACCAAGGGTCTCAGTTTCTCACTGGCTGGTGTATGGAAGGTATCCCCAGTTCCTGTCATATGATCCTCTCTGTGGGCAACCTACAATATGGCAGCTCACTTTTTCTAAGCCAGCAAAAGTCTCTCTAACAAGACTGACATTATAGTTTTATATAATGTGATCACATACATGCTGCTGCCTTTGGTGTGTTCTGTTGGTTAGAAGCTAATCAGTAGTCCCATTCACACTCAGAGGGGTGGGGGTTTACGTGAGGACATGATACCAAGAGGCAGGGATCATAGGACCACCTTGGAGTCTTTCCACCACAGATTCTCACCAGTTTTATTCCTTCATCATTTGAATCCAAATTAAAGTTGGATTGCTGGTGGATTATTGATGAGTGATGCTGGAGCTAAAGTTTTAACTGACTCCAGATTCTTGTCAAATACTGAGCTGTTAATGTCAAATTATTCTAAGAAAAGTATTGTAAATTAGCCTTTCATTTCCATGAGCCTATTTCCTACCAAATAAATACCAAAATTAAACTCAGAAATTAATGGAAATAAACTACAAATATTTTTACAAACACTAAGTCACACCAAACTGTTTTAAACCTGTGATAACTTGTCATTTTGGGGTCTAATTTTTTTATCTGCTAGACTGACTGAGGTGTCTCAAGATACACTTTCAGTAAAGATTGGACTATTATATCTTCTTGAAATAAGTATAGTTCTTTATTTAAAAACACTTTGTCATGAAAAACACTAAAAATGCAAAACTTAATGTAAGAGAACATCCATGTAACTACCACTTACATTGCCAACACCTCAAAATTTACTTAATTAAAATTTACTCAATTAAAATCTCTCCGTGCTCAAATGTAGTCATTAATTATCCTGCCTTTTATGGCAACCACTTCATAATCATGGGCATTTTATATTATTCCAGATAACTTTTTGGCAGCGATTATTCATTTCTTACCACGGTGAATCCATCCTTGTTTTCTGAGGCACACAGTTACACTACATGGCTCAATCTTGTTGCAGTCAGGTTTGACCAAGTTGCCAGGTGCCTGTCAGTGCGTTGTGAGCTCAAGCGGGTGCCATTTCCAAGGGAGGCTCCAAGACAGCCTGCCTACTTGTCTGGCCTCTTTGCTTCCTGTCAGTCAGAGCAGAAATGATTCTTCTCCAACCCTGCAAATGCTAACAGTGTCCTAGAGGATTGTGGAACAACATGCTAGAAGGATCCTGGGCCCCTGAGTGACTTTAAAAAATAGCTATACCACCTACTGAGACCATTCACCTCAGAACATGAGAGAGAAGTAAACTTACTTTTTTTTTTTTTTTTTGAGACAGGGTGTTGCTCTGTCACCCAGGCTGGAGTTCACAGCTCATTGCAGCCTAAACCTCCCAGATTCAAGCAATCCTCCCACCTCAGCCTCCTAAGTAGCTGGGAATACAGGCACTTGCCACCGTGTCTGGCTAATTTTTTATTTTTTTATGGAGACGAGGTCTTACTGTGTTGCCCAGACTGGTCTCAAACTCCTGGGCTCACATGATTCTCCTGCCTCAGCATCTCAAAGTGCTGTGATTACAGGCCTGTCCTACTATTTTTTTTAGTATTATAAATTTTTTCCACAACATTTTTGGGGAGTCTCTTTGTAATACATTAGGAAACATGGGTTTTTTTTTTTTTTTTTTTTGAGACAGGGTCTTGCTCTGTCGCCCAGGCTGGAGTGCAGTGGCGCAATCTTGGCTCACTGCAACCTCCGCCTCTTGGGTTCACGCTATTCTCCTGCCTCAGCCTCCCGAGTAGCTGGGACTTATAGGCACTCGCCACTATGCCCGGCTAGTTTTTTGTATTCTTTATTAGAGACGGGGTTTCACTGTGTTAGCCAGGATGGTCTCAATCTCCTGACTTTGTAATCCGCCCGCCTCAGCCTCCTAAAGTGCTGGGATTACAGGTGTGAGCTACTGCGCCCGGCCACGTATTTTTTTTTTTAAACTGAAATCTGTAATTCCACACAATTTTCTTTTCTATCTTTTTTTTTTTTTTTTTTTTTGAGACGGACTCTCACTCTATCACCTAAGCTGTAATGCAGTGGTGCGATCTCAGCTCACTGTGACGTCCCCTTCCTGGGTTCAAGGGATTCTACTGCCACAACCTCCTGAGTAGCTGGGATTACAGGCACCCACCACCATGCCTGGCTAATTTTTGTATTTTTAGTAGAAACGGGGTTTCACCATATTGGTTAGGTTGGTTTTAAACTCCTGACCTCAAATGATCCATCCAACTGCCTCAGCCTCCCAAAGACATTTTCTTAAAATTTTTTTTACATATTTGTATACATGCATACTTACATTATTTTAATATAAAATTGTGAGAAGGTTCAAGTTAATTTTTGCTTGTTGAACCCTCTCCCTTATTATTAACCTATGTTAACAACTTAGTATGTGCATTTTATATTTTTGTTAATTTTTTTCTATGATTATAACTTCTATGGCTGGAGAGTCATGCACTGCATAATGAATGATGTTTGGTCAACGACAGACTGCACATATGTTGGTGGTCCCATAAGATTATAATGGATCTGAAAAATTCCTGTCTCCTAGTGACATCCTAGCTGTCCTGTTATCATAGCACAATGCATTACATTTTTTTTTTTCCCTGAGACAGAGTTTTACTCTTGTCACCCAGGCTGGAGTGCAATGGCGTGATCTCAGCTCACTGCAACCTCCACCTCCCAGCTCAAGTGATTCTCCTGTCTCAGCCTCCTGAGTAGCTGGCATTACAGGCGCCCGCCACCACGCCTGGCTAATTTTTGTATTTTTAGTAGAGGCAGGGTTTTACCATATTGGCCAAGCCGATCTTGAACTCCTGACCTCAGGTGATCTGCCCGCCTTGGCCTCCCAAAGTGCTGAGTTTACAGACATGAGCCACCGTGCCCGGCTGCATTATGTTTTTGTTGTGATGCTGGCATAAACAAACCTACTGCACTACCAGATATATACAAGTATAGCACTCTGTATATAGTATATATCTATGTCATACCGTCAACTTACACAAACCTAAATGGCATAGCCTACTACACTGTACTGTACTATGTATAATTGTATATACAATTATATGTAGCACATAGTACTTGAAAACAAATGACTATGTTAGTGGTTTATATATTTACAATAGTATATATACTTTTTATCATTGTTTTAGGG